CTGCAAAATCTGGCAACTCCAATATAAGTGTAGCTCCCAGTTATTTATATTGATTATTAATTAACAGTTAAACAAAACTGAGGGACTGAGAGATTGTGTTATTGCCAGAGTCCTGCTTCCTCCTGGAGACAGATAATGAAAAGTTTTAGCTCCATGCCAGCTACTGCGACCTCCAAGATCAAGCAGCCTTCTTGGGAAGATTTTCAAAATCTATTATCAATGTAATCGTCATGAAAATATTTGGTGAGAACACTGCATCACGCTGTATAATAAATTTAAGTAGAAAAGTCAAAGCAGTGGTATTTTCATCAGGTCTTTGGATGTCAAGAGGAAATAGCTCCACACTCAGCGAATATAGATAGGCCTGTTTTGGGCTGTGTTAAATCCAATTGTGTGGAGGTTTTGAATAATCAGGAGAGACAGCCTAAGCACTTTCTCTTCAAAGTGATTTTACAGAAAGCACTATTTCCTAAGGAAAATACACATACAGCTCTCATAATGCTGAAAGTGCACTAATGTATCAGTTTATTGGTGCTGGTGTCATGAGCTAGAGCTGCAAATTGTATTCAGATTTTAAACTTTACTCCCTGCTGCCGATGGGGGAAGTTCCCTTCCCACGATAAAGGTTATTTCAAAAAGTTCTAGAACGCTTTTGTAGTTTTAATGTGAGACAGTCTTCAAGGATTTTCGTAGAAGGTTCTAACTTCACTTTGTGAAGCCAACTCAAACATGATTTTAAAAAAACAACAATAGTTTTTCTCAATAAAAGTTCTCAACTTGGAGAAGAATCTGAGTTGGGCTATGTAATTTCTGCTTCCCTAAGTAAATCATCTGGAAAGTGTTTTGGGGAGCAAGTGTGTGATTTTGGTCTTGGCTCACAACTTTGGAACTAGCTTTTTAAAAAAATGTCTGCCGTGGATTTTCATAACAGATCTCTTCCCTGTACGACGTGTTCCCTAGCTAAGTAATAGTTCTGCCAAATTTTTCAAATTTTTCAGCAACCTTTAAGGAGGGTTAAATAGTTCCCTTAATAACTTGAAAGAAAAAAATATTCAAGGTTTACCACAGTTCTTAGTCACAGGCTAAATGTTTTCAACAGTTTTATTACTTTGAACCTACTTAGTCTAAAGAATGTCTCCCAATAAGAATGAAGCATAGAGGGTTCAAAATGTAGTCATTCTGAAATGGAGATAGTGTTGTTTGCATCAGAGCATACATTCATGCTATCTTTATCAGGACTTCTCTGCCAAATGTTGCTTAGTTCTATTTCTCACCTGCTACCTATAAATCATCCTGAAATATCAAGGGTGCTGACTCATGAGTCGCGCATGTTTTCATAGTTTGTGTTCATACGTTTCACTCAGTTGTGTTTCAACTGTATGAAACATTTGGGGCCATTTATAGACAAGTAGCAGTGGTTCCCTTTCTGACCTTGATGAGTACAGACACAAAGGTACATTTGGTGGATATATTTCCCCCTCACCATTAAAAGTTGTGCTTCATAGGAACAGGAAGGGGGATCGTTTTCATTAAAGAGTAAACACAGAAGCAATGGCCACAGCAAATTAATTGCTCATCTTACCCTCAACTGAGTAGGCTGGCATTGCTCTCTTGTGCCTTAAATCTTTCCCACTCCGCCTATAAACATGATTATCTCTCCTACTTAAAATAAAAAATAAGAGTCTCCTCTCACCCTGATTAATCCTGTTTAGTTACTGTCTGTGCTCCCCACTTTTACCACAGAACGTCTTAAACCGGGAGGTGATGGTCACTGCCTCGTCATTCATGGTTGCATGGCTTTGGGGTCGGTCTAGTGACACTGCTGTGCGAGATTAAAACTGGTCGTGCTTCCACATCACCATCTGAACTAAATGCCTTGCTGAACACACTGGGAATGACGGACATTCAAAGCAGCATACACAGGGCACTTTCTAACCTATGTCTTGGTTTCTTCTCTTCCAGGTATCTCAGTAACGAAGAAGACACATACATGTAAGTAATGCATTTTTTTCTGTCCAAAGTTTTCTGAAGAGTTGGAATTCGCATATGTCTGGCTGCTGTGACCCTTCAAGTATAAACTAATGTTTCAGCTGTGATCCATGGTCAACAGAGGTCATTTTTTTTTTCAATCTGTAGTGGTCGGAAGTGGCACATCTCCACCTGTTTGTACTGAGTGTGTGTTGAAGAGAGAGGCTAGAGACATAGTCTGATGAATTCCAGTGTTTCAAGCCATGAAGCTTTAGAAAAATCATAAAATCTAGCCAGGAGGATCAATTACTTACTGATCACCCTTATTCTAGATCCTTCTTAGGAGAGCTGGTATGTTTCTAGGAAACATCACCTTGATTTCTTTTAAACTTTGATCTCCTTTTCCTCACCGCTAGTTCACAAATTAGGCCGTTTGGTACTCATGTCTGTGGAGCAGAGATGCTGACTGGGAATAGAGGCGCTGTCGCTGGACCACGGGCATGGCCTGCGAGGGCCTTGATAAATGGCATCGGTAGTTTGATGTGGAAACATGTGCTGGATTTATGCTCTGTATTCATCCCACTTCTCAGGTTCAACTGCTTTCATCAGTTGCCTTCATTTGAAGTACACCATAAGTTACAAACTCACGTCAATGTAAGGTGTTGTGATTTGCAATCTGAGCAATGATGTTTGACTGTCCCTTGAACCTCAGGATGAAACAAGACATCATTGATGCAGGCAGTCAACTTTCACTGTACTTGACCAGCATATTATTTAGGCTTTGAATTAATGGTGTCATTAGAATTTGATGACTATTTTAGACCACAGAGACGTGCTACCTATGAGATATCTTTGGGCATCCTTCTAAGGCAAGCAGTGGAGATATTTATGGCACAATCCAGGGACAACAAGGATGTATCCCCTAATTTTTCGTAATTACACTTTAAATTTGTTTACCTCATGTGAAACGTTTGGGGGAAAACATCTGTGTAACATCAAAGTAGTTTATCTTGTGCCTCAGTTGATTCTTGAAATCTGCTCTTGGGTTTGTCTGTCTGTCTATCTGTATTTGTAGAAAACAAAAATGGAAAAAAAAAAAAAAAAGCAAAACCAAAAAACATCAAATTGGATGAGAAGCTGCCTGACTCTGAGGACCCTGTCCTGCAGTCTCTCCACGTGGCTCTCTCATGGGCTTCAATGGAATGTTTGCTTGAGGAGCAATGAAAAGGTCAGGCCTGTACTAGATACGTGATCAGGATGGCACCTCCATCTCTCAATGCACAGTTCCAGTTGGCTGTCCCTCCATCAGGGTAGTCTGTGACCCTTAGCTTTTTTTGGGGTTGTTTTGTCGTTGTTGTTGTTCTTGTTCTTGCTGTTGTCGGTGCATAATTGAGCTCATGATGACTGAGAGATTGACAGTGCAGGAGACTGAAGTCCTCTGTATATCCGCAGGGCAGGCATGGTACAGAGCGCTTCCTTGCACAGCCTTGCCCATGAGCTCGTCCCTGGCCCGGAGGGACCCACTCTAGAGGTGGTAAGTAATTCAGTCTTTCTGCTAGCTCAGTCCTGGGCCTCTCCCCAACAGGGGCTGATGATTGTGCCTACTGTTTATGGTGGTTTGGGGTATGGACTCCTGGCCACCTGGCAATGTACAGAAAGCTACTGACTATTTGCATTATGACTTGGCTCTGAGATAAGTGGACAAAACCGCTAGCTCAGCTCCACTGGACATGAAGAGTACATCTCAACTAATAAGATAACATGACAGAGACTGAGATGTTAGCGAGTATACAGACAGTCCATAGAGAGAGAGACATTCGAGGAACCGTCATCCCTAAAAATAATTTTCTTGGCCTATTGCAGAAATAATAACCTGTGGTTGAGTTTAAATTCATGGAAGGACTTAGGTGACAGCATGAGAGTGGTGGCTAGAGAGGAAAAATTGGTGTTCTAATAACAGACACTTGAACCAGGTGGGTCTCCCCACAAAGCCTTAAAGAATTTCATCAGCTATTCTGGCATTAATGCAAAATCAAGATATAGCCACAGAGGGTGGACTTTGAGTGCCTTTCTAACTGTGAAAATCAGCAGGCATTAAGCTTAAAGTAAATGTAGAAAGACTTAAAGCTCCTTTTATATAATTGACAGAAAGTTTTGCATCAGAAATCATATCGTTTTGGTTGATGTTTACCTTCATGATTTGGGGGAGAGGGCTCTGAATAAAAATGGCCCAATGACAGACTGGAAAGAATAGCACCTGAATACGCAGTTGACACACAGCTTTACACATGCCAAGGAGAAATTGAATTGTCCAAGTTACGTTAGTGGAAGTCCTCCATGCCACTTGAACATGGAGATCGTTTTTGTCACCTAGCTCAGCAGGCAGCCCATCATGCTTCTGATCTTAGCATCTCCACAGGGCCCACAGCTTGTGAGGAGAAAGACAATCAATCGGTTTTTTCTCTAATAACAGTCACCCAGATGACATCTTCTTTAGCATTTGTCCAATTTTTCTTGAAATCTGAACTGTCCTAACTTGCCTATACGTTTTTTTTAAGATGTTAAATTCCGGCTTCTCTTAAATCATCTTGACATCTGTTCTTCAAGAAGTTTCACTCTCAGTGAAGTGTATGAATTCATTTTTGTACTGTCTCAAAACTTCCATTTTTAGCCAGGGTTCTGGAAACCTTAGTCAAGACTTGACTACATAATCAACGACAGCTGAAGTCACCCGACATTAACAATTTCAATCTTGGTTTCTTAACTGCCCTCATGGAGAGATTGTTCAACATACAAATTAATATGTACAACTGCAGAATATATTATCAGACCAGCGTGTCAGCTCACAGGTACGTCAGACAGGGGTGCAAGTACTGCAAAATGAACCTGAATAGTTCTGACACCAGATAATATTTTAGTCCACCTTGTTATCTGGAAAGCACAGGTATTGTTTCTTTAAAAAAAAAAAAATGTTTTGGGTGACTTGAACCCGAAATTCCCCTGAAAGGAAATTTGATTGTTAGCTTCAGAGGAGTCCATGAACATAGTCTTTGGAGAGCTGGAGAACTCAGTTTCCCCTGAGTTCCTGAGAAGGGTACCTTAAGTGTTTGTTTTTTCTTTAGTTGGCCAGTGGGAGAAGATAAAGCTTTGGGACATCTAGTGGTTCCCATACCCACATTGTTCAAGGAATTCTTATGTTTGTGGTCTTCAATTGTTGATAGGAAATGTGGCTGGCTGTTGGTTGTTGGTGTGCAAACATAAAAGAGAGTTTTTACTCTTCGATCAATTTTACACTGTGGTGTGGAATTTCAATTTAATTTTCATGGTGATTACGTAGCTCATGTATTTGGTTGGACCCCTTCAAGATTGCTTTGCTTTGGTGTTTCACAAGTTTGTTCTGGTCTCTTTCCTGCTGAAATAGTCACCATGCAGAGAAGTATCATTTTCTTGGAATCAGCTGCTGTCTTGGTTTTTATGATTTGCCAAGGGCAACTAGTCATTCACTCCTGAATTCTTAATCTAATTCTTCTTGGACAGTTCTGCATTCACTACAGTGTTACAAGAGGATAACTATGGAGGTGAAAAGATGTAACAAATCATTCGAGCTCTTTCCAGCTACTGGGAAGTTTGACATCATGTAGTCTGAACCTTAGAGGACATATATCAGATAGCCACCACAACACAGACCGAAAAGATATATGGTAGGGCCCCGAACCATTTCCGGAGGCATCAGACCATTTCTGCATCCTTCTGTTCTCATCCTTGTTCACAGTGCTTGTTCCTTCTGTCCTAGCCTACCCTGCCTGCTTTCCACCACACTGAGGGACAGATACACGCTTCTGGAAAGCGCAGGTTACTCAGTGGAAGCAGTCAGGAAAATATGTCAGTTTACTCCCAACTTGAGTTGTTAATTTTCCCCAATAAAAATCCAAACAAGACATGCTTCTGAACCTTCTGAAATATTTTTATTTAACATGAATAGCCGTTAAAAGGTAATCTAGTACATTTTCAAATGTTTGATTGCAGCAGGCTAATGCCTACAGTATAAAATTAAAGCGCTGTATTATTTATAAAAAGACTTAGTTCTACAAAGTAAAATATTTTAGCACAAATCAGAGTATTTGTTTGAGAATTAATCTTTTGCATCCATTTTAAAAAAGTGTTTATTGCAATCATTTAAAATGGAATAGGTTAATGTATTCACTTTTTACCCAAGAGACTTGGCTTTGAATTTGACTTAGAGAAAATTAGTTTTGAGGCCTCAACCTCCTCTCCTTAGACATCTGTTGATATCACAAAATGAACCCAACGATTTGTCACAATTGTTGCCATTTACTCAGGAGATCTAAAAACTAGAATAACCTTATTTTCTGATTTTTTTTTCCTTTCCGTAAGACCACACTTTTTTATTGTAGACTCTTAGCAACCCCAAACTTGGGGCTCACCCGCATTGTTTTCACAGTCCAGGAAAACTCAGGAACCATTCTTGGCAAAGCTAATGGAAGGTGCTTTGGTGATATAGTTAGCAGGTTGCCGTGGCAACCTGTGTGACTCACAGTGTGACTCACGGCAGTTATAATTTCATTTGCTGGCAGGGTGCTTCATTAGGACAGATGTGAGAAGAGCCACGCTGAAGTTCCTTGAGTAGGCCTTCATCCAGATCCTGTCTGCCCATTGACAAATAGAAAAAGGGATAACCCAGTACTCACAAAGCAAGTGGAAGACTCACTGCCTAGCTTACCAAGGCCACCAGCTATCCCAGACATTAAGCTGGCTGGCAGTGGGACATGACTAAAATACAGGCCTAAAAGGGCTGATTAAGAGACAGCTATTCATTGAGGACCTACTCTGTGCCAATAGGCTTTTACCTTTCAGGTGTTTACAGACTAGTTGTAAGTAAAGACTGGAGGGCGACAGGATGGGGGCTAGGGAGGGGTAGAGAAGTACACAGTCACATAAAACAATCTGCAAACACAAACGCTAGGTCTACCAGTTCCATAAGTCAGCTCATAACTGAAAACAGACTAAGCTGGACGTGTATGGATGAGGAAAAGAAAATTAAAGAAAGCATCCAGGATTCTCGTGTTGTGATCAAGCATAAAATAGCAATAAAGCCAAAGGCAGAAATTTAACCCTGGGTGCTAAAACCCAGCCCCACAATAGAGTCACATCTATTTAGTTTCTTCAAGATCAGCCAGTCTGAGGAAGTAGAAGTCTCTCTGTACTGTCTGGAAACATTTGCCTTGTTTAGAGTCAGCCTGCACAGCTAGAGCCAAGCCCTCCTAAGCTTAACAGGATTTCTCTGTCTCATCATATTAAAAATAAATGGACTGCACTTGGCCCTGCCAGTCAGTTCTTCCAAAGTAGAACATTTGCATAGTCTTAAAGCTCACAGTTCATGGTGAGGAGCTGTGAACTCCATAGAAAAACTGAATAGTTAGCAGAGCGTTTCCATCCCAACTTCCAATTGATTCAAATTTGCCCAGTTAGTAGACTTGAGGTTAACGAATTACACTTGGACAAAAAGTATTTGTGTTTTCACTTCATAACATAGGTTCCAAAGGGTGTGTTCAGATGATGATTGGCTCTTTAAAATCCATAATTACTACCAGGGAGAAAACAAAAATGCCTCGCCTACCAGGTATTGGTGTAGACTTGATACACTTATTACATACTTGATACATGCTTAGTTAGACATGATTGGATTTGTCTTTAAAGAAGCGCTGGCTGTCTATGACATAGGTTTGCATTATGCCTAGTTTACTATTGACAATCATGATGGCGGAATTAATGGCAGTAGTGCCATTACTTGTAATAGCAGCAGTGGCAACAGCAGGAACACCACCTACCAAGCAATTTGAATATTCTAAGCATTATGTTTGATGCTTTATGTGCATTATCTCATTTAATCTGCTTATCAGCTTCATGAGCTGTGTACTGCTTGCATCCACATTTTAAATAAGAAAAGGTATGTGAGAGACGAGTAACTTAGCTTAGAGAAGTGAAAAACCTTGTTAACTAACCCGGCTGGGCAGAGCCTGGAGTCACAACACAGCAGATCGCCTCCTTGTGCACATATAAGAGCTCCACTGTTAGCGCCAGTATTAACATTAACTAATCCTTCTGGAGCACTTAGTGCTAGGCACTTCTCTAAGCACTTTCTAGGTGTTCCTTTATTTATCTTGACTGCAACTTTGTGATGTAGGTGTTGCTACTGTCCCCACTTTACAGATAAAAACCAAGGCCCAGGGTCCTACAACTAGCTAGTATGTGGTGGAGCCAGGATTTAAAGGCAGTCCACAGTTTCAATGCTTTTAAAATTAAGAGCGTCATTTTTCAAAGTGGTTCTTCCACTCTAAAGCATAGGAAGAAAACCAAGTGCAACATAGTCATTCATACACTTGACCCAGGTTTCCTTTTACCTTACAACTATGCTGCCTCCATAGGCTTCTAGGCTTGAAGAATGAACTGATTGTAAGAAAGGGGAATATTATTCCTCCTATGTGAAAAAAATTATGTAAACAAAGTAGTCTACTGGAAACTATATAGCCTTCTGACTTTATTATTTTTTTTAGACAGGGACTTGCTCTGTTGCCCAAGCTGGAGTGCAGTGGTGTGAGCATGGCTCACTGCAGCCTCAACCTCTTGGTCTTAGGAGATCCTCCTGCCTCAGCTTCCCAGTAGCTGGGACCACAGATGTGCACTATCATGCTCAGCTACTTTTTTTTTTTTTTTTAAATTTTCTA